CCAAGCCAGACCTTACTAGTACATTGCAAGAGAGACCACAGCAGTAATCAGCCTTTAAAATGGTCCTCTTGGGTTACAGCTGCTATTTTGCCTCTGCTGTCACTTTATTCTTCCATTTATTGTATCAGCTGCATCCCTTTCTCACAGAGTGACTGGCAGGTTAGTATTGTAGCATTTACTTAAAGCATATTTCTCATACTGGTAATTGCCTGAGAAACTTTAAAACATTGGGATGCTGGGAGCCACTCCGTGGGTTTTAGTTTACATGATCCCAGGCACTGGTACCTGTAAAAGTTCTCCCAAGGTGATTTCAAAGGGCAGCCAAAGCTGCGAAGTGCTGTCTTATAGGTTGTTAAACTCATAGCCCTGTTGAACTTGGTTTATCAATTCCTATATCCTTGGGCTCTTTGACTTCAGGAACCTATTGATTGCTGGTCTCCTTTCCTCTGCCTTCCTACACACAAGCTAAAAAGGCAGGCTTGGGGGAGCAGCTGAGCTCATTCCTTGATCGACTTCCAGAAGTAAGTGGAAGGAGTCCAGGAAATACAATTATTGGCAAAACATATCAAGCATCTGGAATGGTACACCTCCTGCGCCAGGGAAATTCAGAAACCACTGGTGAGTTCTGGATGAGAATTCCAACTCTGTCTGATTTGTTTTCCATTAACTTGGGGGAGATTCTTAGCGTTTCTGAGCCTGAGCCTCAGTTTCATTATGTATGAATATAGGAATATCTGCTTCTTGAGGGCTAAATAAATGGCTATTCAAAGAAATTAAAATAGTGTCCAGGATATGGTAAAGAGTGATTTAAGTGAAAATAACAGACAAAATATTTAAAGCTTATTCACTGATTATGTCTCTTGTAAGCAATAATTACTATTGTGGAGCCAATTAATCCAATTCCTTATCTACTAAACAAATATTTATTACTTACTGACTTTTGGCAATCATACTCTAGATACCAGGGATATGGTAATGAATACAACAGACATGATTCTATCTTGGTACATTTTACAGCTTGACTAAATGCTTTATCTGTTCCTAAAGCTGACTTCAAGCAGTACAGATTGAGCTTGCTAAAAGGATTGTACGACTAACTGAACTTCAATTCACCCTTGCAGCAAATACTCAGGGATGTGCTAGACTGTTAAGAAAAACTTACATTTAGTAGACAAACACTTATCAGAGTTCCATAACCGTTATGAAGGGTCAGAAGGCTTTGCAAACCTTATGAGAGTATCAAAGGAAGCAGCTCAAAAAACATGATGGGTTTTCCCAGATAACCCAGGCAATTTCATTAGGAGTGGTGTACCTCTCTTGGTTCTTGAAAGCTAGGGAAGCTGTGATTCCCCCTTATAATGATCCTAGAGGATGGCACATTATCCGTGTTCTACAAATGAGACTTAAATACCCTGACCAAGGTCATTGAGCTGGTAAATGGCAAAATCAAGGCTGAAATTCAGATCTGTTTCCACATTTTATCCTCTAAACTTCTGTCTCAACTGGACACAACACTAGGTGACTGCTTTAGAAACATGAAATCTGACTGTTCACAGAAGTAATTTTAAAAGCCACAAGTAGAGAATAAGAACAGGAGATGGAACTAGAAGACAGTGATGTGAACAAATGTAATCTGATTTTGTCCTATGTGCCCCTTATGAAATTATGTGAGGCACTCAGATCCAATAAAGAATTGTGTCCAGTTTGCCTGGTTATCAAATCTGCTTATAATTTCATGGTATTCCATAGATTAAAGGCTTCATGATTCAGATTCCCATCTCTTCATAGCTGCAGCTTCAATCCTTGTCACACCAGGAAAATATTAACTATAAAAAGTTAACCTGAATATTTCATGTATTATATAACTTTCTAATGGCAGATAATGTTTCCCCACCTTCAAGACATGCAAAGCCATTACTTTGATAATGGAGTGTGTATGAACACACATGCATCACAGGGGCCATGTGTAAGTGTTCTGGAGCACATGTGGGACAAGAGAGATTTTTCAGCCAGTCCTCTCTGGTTTTCTGTGAGTTGCAGTAAACATTGGAGGGTATCCATCAGCTCACAGGGACTGTCCTCTCTACTCTCCAATCAGAACAGGGGAGCCAGGCAGCTATGTTTATCTAAATAGAATGTGACCCCACCCACAGTCCAGCCACGTTTGCTTAGACCCAAAAAGGTTATTTAATCCAAAAGGGGTCAATCACAATCTCATTTGTGGAGACCATTATTAAACTTGCCTATGTGACTCATCAATGGAATGCCAGAGCTTGAACATGTGCCCATTAGACCAGGCTCGTCTTCTTGAGCTACACTAGCCCTTGTTTTTGAGGAGAACATGCCCCAGATAGTGTGTTTTCTACAGGCTTGTTCAAGGAGGATTAGAGATGTATGCAGCAAACCGGGCACATTCTCTAGCTGAGTCAAGCCCATCCTTAGTCAAAGGAGGCATGAGCAAGAAAAAAATGCTATGGTTATATTTCCCTGAATTTTATGATAGGCTATTACACAGAATTATTATGGAAAGAGATGATCAATATATTTCTTCTTGAAACTCCGCAATTAAGCTAGGAGACAAAGAGGCTGTCTTGGAAACTGGGACATGTACATGGCAGAACTCTTCTTACAAAGATGTGTCTCTTTTTCTGATTTACTCTTGCCCATTTTTTTTTTTTTTTGCTTTTCCTTGCATTAAAGTTCATATAACATAAAATTAATTAATTAATTCTTTTAAAGTGAGCAATTCAGGGGCAGTTAGTACACTCACAGTGTTTTATCTTCATGACTGTATCTAATTACAAAATATTTTCATCACTCCCAAATAAAACCTGGTACCCATTAAGCAGTGAGTTCTGATTTTTCCCACCCCCAGTTCCAGACAATGTCAAATTTTTTAATTTTGTGGATTTACCTACTGCTATGGGTTGGATTGTGGCCCTACTTCCACCCCCACTTTTATATGTTCAAACTGTAGCCTTCCTTTTAACTGTTTAAGATTTATTTATGAGAGAGAGAGAGAGAGAGAGACTTCCATCTACTAGTTTACTCCCCAAATGCCTGCAATAGCTAGAGCTAGGCCAGGCCAAAGCCAGGAGTCTGGAACTTCATCCAGGTCACTCATGTGGGTGGCAGGAACAGAAGTACTCAGGTCATCATCGACTGCCTCCCAAGCACATTAGTAGGAAGCTGGATGGAAAGCGGAGGCTGAACTTGATCCCAGGCACCCTGATATGGGATGCAAGTATTCCAAATGGTGGCTTAGCCTGCGTGGCCAGTGCCCTGTAACTGTATTAGAGATAGGGCCCTTGAGGAGGTATTTAAGGTTAAAGGAAGCCATAAATGTGGAGCCCAGACTCAATAGAACTGTTGCCCACATGAGAAGATGAGGAAGACACCATAGCTCTTTCTCTGCCATGTGAGGACACAGGGAGAAGGCGGATTTTACAAGCCAGAAAGAGAAGCCTCACAAGACCCCAACCATGTTGTTACCCTGATCATAGACTTGTAGCCTCCAGATCTGTAAGGAAATATATTTCTATTCCACAAGCCACTCAGTCAGTGATACTTTCTTCTCTGTAATATACCTATTCTGGATATTTATATCTATATGGCCATATAATAGGTGAGCTTTGCATCTGTTTCTTTTGCTTAGCATATTTTCAAGGTTCATTCACAAATGGTTGAATAATATTCTACTGTATAGATATTATATCTTGTTTATTCATAGTTTGATGAATGCCTATGCTGTTTCCACCTTTTAGCCTTTGTGAATAGTGCTGCTATAAATACTTGAGTACATGTATTTGTTTGAGAACCTATTTTCAATTCTTTGGGGTACATTCCTAGGAGTGGATTTGCTGTGTCCTATGGTAATTCTTAGAAATTTCGATGCTTATATCCCCAATGCTCTTTCCAGTTTCCTACCCATGACTTCCTCTTTGGGTGCCATAAGACAACCCTGGAATTTATAAATTCCCTTTGTTGCTGCAGAATAGACATTTCTTGTTTAACCTAGAGTAAGTTGTTATTACTTGCAACATTGAGAAACTAAACTACAGAGAATAAAATGTCTAATTTTTGGTCATGTCTTGATAATTCTAAGAAAAATGAACTCAAACGTCTTCTTTCATACTTTTGCAGAGGGATGGTTCATTTTTTGTTGATAGTAATCAAATTCTATCTTGATGAGATACTAGAATCTGGCTTTTTAAAAAAGTATTTATTTATTAATTTGAAAGAGCTACAGAGAGGGATAGAGGAAGGGAGGGAGAGATACAGAGAGAGAGATACAAATAGATATATTCATCTGGTTCATTTCCCAGATGGTTGCAACAGCCAGGATGGGGCCAGGCCAAAGCCAGGAGCCAGGAGTCTCATCCGGGTCTCCCATGTGGCTACAGAAACCCAAACACTTGGGCAATCCTCCACTTCCATTTCCAGATCATTGGAAGAGAGCTAGATTGGAAGTGGAACTGTCGGGACGCGAATAGCACCTGTATGGGATGCTGGTATTGCAGGCGGTGGCTTTACTGCTACGTCACAACACTGGGCCCTGGAATTTGGCTGTTTAAAAAATGTTTATTTATTTTCACATTTGTGAAAGGCCAAGAAAGAGAGGGAAGTTGAAAAGGAGGGAGAGAGAGAGGGAGACACAGAGAGAGAGAGAGAGAATGCAGAGATAAAGGACCCTTCCATTTACTGGTTCACTCCCCAAATGCCCACAACAACAAAGACTGTGCCTGGTTGAAGTCAAGAGTCAGGAACTCCATCCAGGTCTCTCATGTGGGTGGCAGGGTCCCAAGCACTAGAACCATCATCTGCTACCTCCCAGGATGCATTAGCAGGGAGCTGGATCAGAAGTGGAGTAGCTGTGACTTGAACCAGGCAATCCAATAATGGGATGTGGGTGTCCCAAGTGGCAGTTTAACTCACTGCACCACAATGCTTGCCCTGGAATCTGGCTTTAAGGTAAGACTCTTGCTTACATGACCACTTACCTTTGGGACCAGGCAGAATAGGATCTTGCATTTAGAGCATATTCCAACTCAAAACGACTCCGTAAAGCTGCCACGTGGCTCCGGCCAGGCCCTCCCCGGCTCACCAGGCAATCAGAGGAAGAGGATGGTGAGAGAGACCCACTGCTGTTACTTGATGCGGGAGACATCAGCTAAGGGGAGGAGGAATGATTTGAATCACTTAATAAATCCAATAGGTGTAAAGGCGTAGAATAGAATACGGATATATTTTACTTTTCTATTCTAGGATTTCTCACATTTTAATTTCTATTCATCGCAGCTTGCTTCTGGCTTTTCATTTCAGCCTCTGAAGGCAACACCTGGCTAGCTTAATTTATTTTTTGACCTACTTCTATGCTGAGAGCTGGCCTGTTAAACCTATGCTCTTCTTTCCAAAAACACAGTAGGCCCAAATCAGATTCATAAAATAGATATTTAGAAGTTATTATTCAATGATCAAAAGATCCTCCACATTCTTCATATAAGATATATGGCAATTTCCTTTAAATACTAGCTAAAATTATTTCCTTTACATAAAATGGATTTGCACACTTTTCTAAGAATACGACGATTTTATAGGATAAAGGAGGCTTTAATGTTTGACAAGTGTTCTCCCATAGAGAACAAGGCCAATCCTTTTGCCACATGATAGTTCTTCAGATGTTTAAGAACAGCTGTTCGACTCACCCTAATTTTCTCTTCTTTGAAATAAGCATCCCTGGTCACTCCAACAGTTTCTCACCTAACATGATTTTCAATTCATTTACCATTCTGATCTCTCGCCTCTCAAATGTGTTCCTCGATTTTAATTATTATTTTAAAAGGATCAGTAACACAAGTGGGAACTGTTTGGCTATCTCAGAACCCAAATGATCATATTTGTTTTGTGACAAGATAGACATTTCATATTCTAATTCCCAATAAGTTTATTCTTTTCTTTTTGTCTGAGAGTCTGTGAGACACACACAGAGAAACAAAGAAAGATAGAGCACCAGTCCACCAGCTCACTACTCAAAAGCCAGCAACAGCTAGGACTGAGCTCACTGAAGCCAGGAGGTAAGTATTCAGTTCAGGTCTCCCATGTGGGTGATCTGGACCCACGTATTTGAGCTATCACTTACTGCTTCCCAGGGTCTGCATTAGTAGGAAATTGGAATTGGGATTGGAGCCAGAACTTGAATCCCCTGATATGAGCTACTGGCGTTCAACCCAGTGGTTTGATCACATGGCCAAAGGCTCATCTTCCAATAAACTTATTATCCACTAATATTCATGATGCTCCTATATCATATTGCTGTCATCTGATACTTTTACTATTGCTTCTTTGGCTCTGGTGCAAAACATTATATTTAATCCTGTTAAATTTATTCTGGTTAGGTATGTCATGTTACTTTATCCTCCAAGATATTCTAGAATCTGGCTTTCAAATATTTTCCATTCTTTTCCATTGCATTATCTCTGAAAATTCGATGAATAGGGTCCTCTTGACCTTGGTCTAAGCCACTGACGAAAACTTGAAGATGAAGTAAAATCTTATGGAACCTATAAGTCAAGTGCACTTAGGCTGACACTTGTCCATTAATTAGCACAACCACATCCAGTACATTCTCTTTGCAGGAAACTCATTCATCTCTCCTAGAAGGAGATTATACAGAAGAGTCTAGATCAGTATAGCGAAACAGTTTAGATTAGCAGATCCTAAAATTGTCTTCTAGTCTGAAATCCAAGCCCTGAAATAATGGGATAGAGCCCCCGGCTAGAAGCAACTCTGTCCAAACACAAAAATTCAGAGTGAGAGAATACTACTTCTCCCTATTTTCTGTAAGTTTCAGGGCCTAAGAGAAGCACTAAAATTTTTTTTATTTTTATTTTTTAATTTTTTTGTCTGAAGACTGAAACATCTTTCTACATAAAAGCCTTCACCTGGGGCTGGTGCTGTGGTGTACTGGGTAAAACCACCACCTGCAATGCCGGCATCCCATATGGGCTCCGGTATGAGTCCTGGCTTTTCCACTTCCACTCCAGCTCTCTGCTGTGGCCTGAGAAAGCAGTAGAAGACGGCCCAAGTGCTTGGGCCCCTGCACCCGAGTGGGAGACCCAGAAGAAGCTCCTGGCTCCTGGCTTCGGATTGACACAGCTCTGGCCGTTGCAGCCAATTGGGGAGTGAACCAACAGATGAAAGACCTCTCTCTCTCTGCCTCTCCTTCTTTCTCTCTGTAACTCTTTCAAATAAATAAATAAATCTTAAAAAAAAAAGCCTTCACCTGTAAAAGTCTTAGTGAAGAGTCACAAGACAGGGCCACTCACTGCCATCTACAGCCACAGACCTGGTACCCTTTTACAATAGACGAGGTTCCAGCCACTCTTAGTTGAGATTGGTTTTATGGAAAGACAACTTTTCTTGGATGGTTTCACTTTAAGAATGTATTGCGTAGTAAGGGGGTGAAGCTGCCTAGCCCCAATTTTGCCCCTTCTAAGCATACACAGGTAGATATGTGATCCTGTATTTAAGGTGTCCCTCACCTCCTCTTGGAGGACTCAACTGCATTTGAGAATGTATTATTTTTGAGTTAGTGACCATGTTTTGTCTGTTTTCAAATGTTAACTTCTGACCAGCTGTATAGAAAACTAAGGCAATTATAGAGAAAATTAAAGCAAACGGCTCCTTGATATTAAGAGACAAAAATGCCATTAGCCTGATTAGCAACATATATCACTTTGAGCAACATATGTACAGTATGAAAGAAATACCTCCCAATTAATTTCAACACTAGTCTTAGTGATAATTTTCCTTTTCTTATTGAACACAAATGGACAATGGCTTAACATTTTAGCTTACATTCCTCTGTATGTAGGAAATTTTGTGTAGGAAAGCATTGAGTTAAATACTTTCTGAGTATTTTCACATTTTCAAATTTTTCCACATACATATTCTAAGGCACCTAATTATTGCTAGAAGGGCCCAATTCACTGTAAACTTACCTCTATCCATGTAGATGCAGCTAATTCTGCTCCACTCAGGATTTGCTGAATTGGGTAAACATGACTTGTGGCCCTCATAGCACCTTTCCATAGGGACCCTCTCACCTACATTCTCTGACATTTTTGGATGCTGGGGCTTTCTTTACGGACATATTTCAGGAGCTAAAGGTCTTACCTCAATATTGCAGAGACATTCCTCTAACTTCGTGACAACTTCAGAAAACTCAGGTCTTCCCTGTAAATAGAGAAAAGATTATTTTTCTCCCCTGAGAATAAAAGAGAGGAAACTCTTTGGATTTTTCAAATTGGGTTTTTGCATTTGTAAAGAATAAGATTAACAATAAAGTATGTTTTTATTTAAAATACACTTGCATTGAAGTGTTAATTGAATGTTCATTTGCTGTTCTTGGAGGGATGTGGAGTCTTCCTCTGATAAGAGTTTTAACTCAGAATTTGCAACTACATTTAGATAATGAAATAGTGGAAAAGCTTTAATTAGCTTTGCATGTTTTTAAATGGCAGGTTTTCCTCTTTAAAATGAAAGAATAAAAGTGAATACTAAAAGCTATTAACTATCTCAGTGCCTTATAATACCCTGCATATTATGTCCAGAGGAAATAAACTGCCAAAGCCAATTCTGGAATCACCTTCACTTTTGAAAAGACCACCTCAGATTCAAGACTAATATTAAGATAGAAACCTCATGACTTTGCTCTATTGTGGGGCTTAAGGTAGATTTTTATCTTCAAAAACTGCCATTAAAGATATTGTCCATTATGACTCTCTCTATGGGAAATGAGTTAAGCAAACACTAATTATGTTCTTATTATATTTCAAGCTTTGGTATAGATTCAAGGAATAGAGAAATGATTATGGATCCTTGGGAAAAATTCTTGGAATTTCAAAAATGTTGATCTCTTTTGAAGAGCTTATGTGCCTCCTTTTGTCAGATCCTAAGGATTATATATCTTTCATTTCTCACTTTATGAAACTTTCACTGCCAGGAGGTGGAGAGCCCAATCTAACATTCAGGTACAGTAACCAACTAATTTAGATTCTTAGTAGAACAATTTCACCCTTAATAGCTAGCCCTCCCTTGAGGACAGTGCTTCCAGAAGCTGTTTTCTCACATATTCTTTGTACCTCTAGGTTGGAGGGGGCTGTGGTGGGTGAGTGAGGGCCTGCATCTTTCTTGCTGTCACTGCTACTTCCAAATGACTCCTGTGAATGCCATCGCTTGTCAGCTGATTACACTGGGTCCCTCTCCCTCGTCCTTTGAAGAGTTTAATGACTGCTGATCGTCATGCTCTCGCTATCCACTACTACTCACCATTCTACTTACTACTCAGTGTGGGTTTTTTTTGAAGCAGACAATCAGGACAGTAGCCTCACCTCTGGCTTCCTTTGCTTCCTTTTCTCCCTTAAGCCTGTCCTCCCTCTTCCTGTGGTCACTCACATTTGGAGTCGTTCCTTAGTCCCTGCCACTACTACTTCCTGCCATCCCTGCAGGCCACTCTAGGCTCCATCTTTTTACTTTCTAGTTCACTTCTCTTAGAATCCTAACTCTAACACTCTGAAGTTCACACTGGTGCTGTCAGCCCCTTTACCACTTTAAAAATAACCCCAAACCCCACTTTAATATGAATATGTTCAAATATCTATCCATCCATCTCATAATTTCCCTATTTTTTTTTTTTTGCTCATCTCATTTTCTCATTTCCCCTTACCAACCTTAGATTTCATTAGCAATCGTTTCACTACTCACTTCCATACAGCTTCAATTCCCTTGGCCTAGCTTTCATTTTATGCATTACTGTAAAAAAAAAAAAAAATCCCAACTTTGATTAAATCCCTTGTGACTTGTTTCACTTGAAAACCATGACCCTCTCACCCCAAGTGGATCCTCAGTGCTGCCCAGGGAGCCTCTCACTTGTTCACACTCCAGGTGGCCCTTTTAAACCTTCTCATTTCTCTTCCGACCTCTAGCTCTCACCAGTGCATCTGTCTACTCACCTGAGCCCAAGCCTATGTAATCTGCCTCCACTTTGTTTCTACGGATGAACTTGGCCTGATTCTCTCTGACGCTACCTCCTTCACTTCCGTACTCCAGCAATAATTCTCCCTTCCATTTTTTTCTTAGAATTTTTGATATTCTCTTCCTACCGTGTAATCCTCACCAGCATGCAGGCACACTGTACATTCTCCCAGGTGAAAAACTAAGCTCTTGACTCCTTTAAGCCACTGCTCTACTTCTCGATTCACCTTTGTAGCAAACTGCTCTAAAAAATTGTCTGAATTTGCTGTCTTGAATTTCCCTCCTCCCAAGCGCCTTCCACCCTAATCAAGCTTTCTCCTACACCACTGTGCTGAAACAGCTCTGTCAAGGATACAAAGACCTCCTTATTGCTAAATGCAATGATTAAGACTCAGTGCTCGTCTCACTTGGCACAGCATTAAAAACAAGCAATCATTCCTTTGTGCCTGAAACACTTTTTTTTCTATTGGCTGTGAGATTATTATTTTCTCATTATTTTTCTCTACTCTGAGTCTCCTCTTTTGGTTCCACCTCTCTTCCTTATCTTCTTTTTTTTAATATTTATTTATTTATTTGAAAGGCAAAGTTACAGAGAAGCAGATGCAGGGAGAGAGAAAAAGAGAGAGGGAGAGAGAGAGAGAGGAAGGAGAGGACTTCCATCCACTGGTTCACTTCCCAAATCGCCTCAATGGCCAGAGCTGGGCTGTTCTGAAGCCAAGAGTCAGGACTTTCTTCTGGGTCTTCCACGCGGGTACAGGGGCCCAAGGATTTGGGCCATCTTCAATTGTTTTCTCAGGCCATAGCAGAGAGCTGGATGGGAAATGGAGCAGCCGGGACTCGAACCAGCACCTATATAGGATGTTGGCACCGCAGTTGGCAGCTTTATCTACTACACCACAGCTCTGGCCCCTCTTCCTTATCTTTAAATTTTTGACTGCCCCAGGAACCTGTCTTTGAGTTTCTTTACTCCTGTACTGAGAGTTAATTTATTGAAGTACTAATTCAACTTCATGCCTTTGAAAAGCAATTCTGAGATTATGCCTTTAAAAAATAATTCCCAAATTTCTCTCTCTAGAACAGTACTCTCTCCTGAGCCCTAAACTCACATGTGCAATTGACTGTATTTATAATGTTTCTTATCTCATAAGTGACAATTCATGCTTCTTATTTGCAGAGGCCCCAGAACTACAGCATGGTCTTTTGCTTGTCTCTAGGATATTTGCATCGAATCATCCAGGAAATGACAGTGATCCAGTCTTCAAAATTTATCCAGAATCAGATTGGTCAAGTACCTTGTATTAGATGAGCCCTTTTAGTGATAACCACTATAAATTCTGGACAAATGGTAAAAGACGGGGCTATCCGAAGGCACTAGAGAGTAAATAAAAGCAGGGAGATCCCAGAGGAGTGGGAAGGAAGTCACCTAGAAGATTATCGAGAAAGTGTCATCTTTTTTTGATAATAGCATTTGGCCTGGCCTGGGAGTTGAACCTATCTGCATCTTAGGAAAAAGTTAAAATGCTGATAGTTTGCTTGCTTGAAGAACCAGATAACAGAATTAAAGCAAACACAGTGTATTATCTATTTTTCTCTAACAAATCACCATAAAATTAGTGGTTTAAAACAGTGTCTATGATCTTACAGTTTCCATGGGTGAAGCATCCAAGACAGAGGAGCTGGGCCCTGGCTCTGCGTCTCATAGACTGACATCAACTTGCACTGTGGTTCCCTTCTGAGGCTGAGGGTTGCTGGCACAACTGATGTCCTTGTGGTTGTACGAATCCCATCTGTTTTCCTGCCATTATTGTCCAGGAGTGACCTCAGGTTCTAAAAGATGCCCATAATTGCTTACCATGTAACCCCCATTGGCAGTTCACAATATGACTATTTGCTTTTTTCCTGACTTCTTTTTCTGTGAACTGGGGAATGTTCTCGGCATTTAAGGGAGAGAACTGATTATTTTCTCAGGCTGGTGTCATCCAACTGTTATTCTCTGCTCATGGAGCTCCATTACCCTCTGTAAGGGCCCATCTTAGGAAACACAACCTCTTAATGTGCCTATGTGATTCTCCAAAATGACTTTTTACTTTTATTTAGATTAACTTTATTCTTCCTTATGTTTTATCTAGATATGTCAATACCACTAGCTAGGAAGTATTTTGAGAAGAAGCAATGCTTCTCTAGTCTTGTAAATACTACTGTGTTCCAATAGATAAGTTATTTGAGCTCAGATTTGTTTAACTGCATCATTATAATAAAAAAAATCCAGAAACTGTCAGTTTTTCATTCCTAAGTCACATCATCTCTTGCTTAGATCATTACAGTCGCCTTCTATTTCTGCTGCTTATGTTCTTTGCCTATTTTTAAGTACGTTCTGAAAAAGTAGCCAAAGTGTTCGTTTAAAAATGTATTTTAAATCAAGTAATGCCTCTCAAACAAATTTCCAATTATTTCCCATCTTTTTTGGATGCATTCATCTGTAAGCCTTACCACAACCCGCCACGCTGGAATCTACCGCGCTTCCTGTGCACTCCAAACTGGCCACACCAGCCTCCTGTGGAGCCCAGCACACTCCCGGGGATTTACAGTTAAAACCTCCCCACCTGGACCCAGCGGCGCCTTGACCTTTGCCACCGTTGTTCAACTGTGTTTATGCCGGAGAGTTTGCCTTGTCCATGATATTCAGAGCACTAAAGCTAATGCTGTTTACTTCTTGCCTTATTTGTTCTATAACACTTATCACCAGATGAATCATTACATATTTCTATATGTATACTTTTCACTACATGTATATCCCATGAGGGCAAGGGTTTGACTTCTACTGCTTTATCCCCAGTGTTGTGAGCAGTGTTTTACCTATAGAAGGCACTCTACAAATACTCATTGAGTGAATGATAGAATAACTAATTTTATATTTTCGTGACATTTTATTTTGTTCCCACACTATCATATTGTACTTATTGATCTTTTTATGAATGTGAAATCCAAATGGTGCTACTATTTTATTGGAGGGTTGCAAAGCATAAAAACAATGATAAAATTTAACATCTATAGATATTTAATAATATTTCTATTTCACACAGGAAAATGCAGTAATTAAGAGAAAGAAATAATTTTTCCAAGATAGTGTCAGTAAATTACAGCTAAATTCACATGTAGGTGGAGCTTGTGGTCTGACTCTTTTATCAGGCTCTCTCTAA